ATAATTTTTGGTTACTCGTAGGATCGACTAGATTGATCCTAGAACATGTGTCTAAATTTGGTTTTCTAATGTTTATGGATATTTACTGGTTGTCGAAAAGATAAGTATAATGAAAGTAAAGGTAAAGACAAAGGCTTTATAAGATAAATGTAAAAGGGCTTTAAGATAAAAAAACTCGAATTTAAATGTATTTCGACTTAAATGTAAAATGAAACGTAAAAGACTTGATTTAAAAGTAAATGACTTTGAATATAAACATGTATTTCAATACGTACATTCTCAGTATCTCTTTTCTCTAACACTTGGTCTTAGAGTTTATTTGAGTAATTTGTACAAAAGTGAACACATTAAATCCTAACACAAAGGTTCTAATTTATAATAATTCGACCATAACGGTCTTTCTCTACAAGAGTGCCACGTTGGATGTTTGCATGCTCTTCGAATCTTCAGGCTTCCACGCGTCCTTCTGGATAAGATCAAACCATTTGAATTCAAATTCTTATTTAATTCTAAGCGCCAAAACCAACAACGTGACATCGAAACATTTCAAATTTGAAACTTTGAAATTTCTTAAGTCTCATGTATTCCGCAATAATAAGACCTTCACCTTTATTTAATATAATCAAGCTATCCATAGTCTAGTCAGTCGATATCTCTATGAAGTATTTTCATATTTCTTTTTAAAGCTAGTTCTCTTTAGAATTTCTTCACTTTTCAATATTAAAGGTCGTCGAAATTCTCAGCTAACACACCCATGTATCTTTTGATACAATGAGGTAGAGTGATTGTTCATTGTTACTTGCCTATCACTCATGAGCTTTTAAGTAAAGAGTTGGTTGTGTGTCAAGTTATTGTTCTCAGTTAAAAGCTTTTAAGCAAAATTAAGTATTGTAATTGGAAGTGTATTCTTTTGTTTTTGTTATTGTCACTGGGGTGACTGTGGGAAGTGATAGGGGGTCTCATATCTAGAAGGTTTCTAGGTAGAAGTTTCATAAGATGATGATTAGGTGATAAGTTGTAAACTATGGTTGTTTAGCTTTTAACTAATACTATCATTGTGAATTTCCTTCCTAGCTTGGATGCCCCCAGATTAGGTGAGTTGTATCAAACCGGTTAACAATTAATTGTCTCTTTTACCTTCTGCAATTTACTTATGCATAATTATTGTTTCGGTAAAAGTGTTTTTTTATCAGTAGACGATGTCATAACATTTGCCTTGACATTGTGTTTTGGTGTTGGGACATTAGTCTTGACATCTGTTTTTATAGTGTCAAAATTTCACTAGCCACAACCATACACATATGCTAACTTTGAAATCTTCAAGAAATTTTCGCAAAAAATTAATCATAAAATGATTTTCCTCATACAGGTCTCACACCCTAAGATGAAATCTTAATCCAAACAATAATGGATTATGCAAACAGTTAAAGATGAAGATAGATTTTGGTTGTAAACTCAAAACAACACTCAAAACCCTTTTTTAAGTTTTATAGAAAATGTGTGTTGTGAGCTACAAGTCATAGAGTGATTATAAGAGATTTTTAGAAAAATGAGTTATACACGTGCTGGAGATAAGACAGAGAAATGAGGAAAATAACCCATTCAAGTCACAAGAATTAAGTATGAGTCAAGTCTAAAGAGTGAATGATTTAAATCAAGATCCAAGAACCAAGAAAAGTGCTCCCATGATCCAAAACAACCCTTTTATGATTTGTGTCATGTGATTCGAGTCGACTAGATTTGTGATTCGAATCAAGACCACTGAACCAAAATCCAAAATGTGTTGACAGACTTTGATTCGAGTCAAAAATGTATGTGAATTGAATCAACCTTCTATGATTCGAGTTATGCATTATTGTGATTCAAATCGAACTCACATAGACAAAATCATGTTTTGAAGAACTATGATTGATTCGAGTCAAACAATCATGTGATTCAAAACAGACTCACAGAAGCAAAATCCAGATTTTCCACATAAAGAAGTGTTATTCTAAATCATAAGTTAGCAAGACTTCAACCATTTTCATTGTTCTTCTTGATTCAAGACTCCAACTATTTGACTAGAAATATATTTTGAAAATTTTAATAAAATAATTTGATTAATACATCTGTAAAACGATTAAGCACTCAACCCTAAAATGTGTAACTATGTAAAGAGACTCAATTACAAAAAAAAATTAATTAAAAACTAAATTGACAAAACACAAACTGGTAAACCTTAAGAAATACTAGTACACAACTTTCATAACTGAAAACATTTGAGAATTTCTCTTTACACCTAGTAGTGGTGATTTTCACCACTGAAAACCCGAAAATACCCTTCGGATATGCACATCCCGAACGCACCTCTCAACATGTTTTAGATGTGCACATCCGAAGACACCCTTTTTCATATTTTAATACTTAAACGTTGGATTTTAAATATTTAAGGTGGTTTCAGATAAGTACATCTGAAACATTTTGAAAGGTGAGTTTGGATGTGCATATCTAAAACTTCCTTTTCCATATTAGAATGTTGCATGGTCACCCATTCCAACTATTTTATTCATTTTCTTTTCCCCCTTAACAAAAACCCTCAACAAAACCTCAATCATTCTCAATGGAATTTTCGTCTCCAAATCAAGTTTCAAGTGTTTGAGTATAGCAAAGAGAGCATAGAAAGTTGCAATTTAAGGTAAACTTCCATTATTTTATCATACATTTCCTGAATCGAGCTGTTTTGTTGAAGAAGAAAACAACGCCGCTTTGAATATGCATTTCCGAATTCAACCTACCATAATTCGGAAGTGCATATCCAAAAATATGTTGGTTACAAAACCAGAATTATTTTTTAACAGAATTTATATTTTTTTGAACATGTTAGGTATGGTGCACCCCGACAATATTGTCAAAGCTATCGTAAAGGTTCTGGACAAGGTCAATGAAGATGATAAGCCGAATGAGGTGAAGGACGTTGATAAAATGATTGATCATGGACAACAAGTTCCAAATGATAAAAGTTTCACCTCTCGTCAACATATGCTTGAATGGGTTCGAATGGAATCTAGAAAACTTGGGTTTGGCGTTATGATTGAAAGGTCTGACAATGGGAGTAGTAATCAACAACCATATTGTAATGACATGCGAGAGAAGTGGAAAATATGTTCCAAAATTTCGTAAGATAAAACATGATGACACAAGATCAAGGAAATGTGAGTGTCTGTTTAAATCACGTGATTATTGTAAGGTGGATGATTTATGGCAGTTTATTGTCATGTCTGATATACATAATCATACGTTACACACCAAGCTACACGGGCATCTAATTGTATGTCGGCTTAAGACGTTAGAGAAGGAATTTATTTCTGAATTATCGTTGATTAAAGTTGCACCGAGAAACATACTTGCCGGTTTGAAATGGAATAAACCGGAATGTGTTTCAAATATCAAGTCGGTTTACAATTATCTTATAAATAACACATTGCATAAAGAGGCCCAAGTCCAAAATGCAACATTTATTGAAATGTTTGGACGATAACCACTACATTTCCAGGTATAGAGTTTATGAGGACAACGTCAGTATTCGTGACATTTTTTGGACTCATCCAAAAAGTATCAATTTGTTCAACACATTTCCAACCGTCCTTTTGATTGATTCGATATACAAGATCAATAAGTATAGGCTTCCGCTTCTAGAAATTGTTAGTGTCACCTCTATAGAAAAAACATTTTTGGTTGGGTTTGGTTTTTTAGAATGTGAGAAAGAAGACAACGTCACTTGGGTGTTGGGTATATGCAAGACTTTGTTGAAGGATCCACAAAATATGCCTAAGATCATTGTTACCGACCGACATAACGCCCTATTGAATACGGTTGGCATTATGTTTCCTTTATCAACCGCAATACTTTGTCGATATCATATAACAAAAAATGAGAGCTAAACTCAAACCTGTAGTTGGCACCAAAGAAAAAAAGGGTGAAGACGGAAACATGGTCAAATTCGGGGCGCTGTCTAAAGCCTACCTGAAAAAAATTACAAAGCACTGCTAAAGGGGTATATAAAAAAGCGCTGTCTAAAGTGGACATAAGGCAGCGCTTTTACGTTGAAAAAAAGCGTTGCCTTTTCTTTTAGCAGCGCTTTAAAGCACTGCTGCTTTTAAAGCGCTGTTAAAGACCAAAAAAAGCGTTGTCTTTTCCCTTTTTATAGTAGTGTTTGTCTACTTCAGTGGTGCACAAACGTCACTTTAATTTAGGTTCTCGCAGAACACGTTGTTCGCTGAGTTCGTTACGATACTACATTCTCTCTTGCAATATCCAGAGAATCGAAAAGTGGTCAAATTTGAGTATCGTTCATCTTCACTTGACACTGAAGGAAATGTAAAGTTCACCATGTTTCAGCTGAAGAACAACGACGATTTAAAGGTTATGTGGGGTACCTTTCAACGATACTCTTCTAAGGGTCTGATTGAGATGAGTGCGAAGCTTCAAAGATCGACAAAAGATGTTATCAAGATGTTGCAACATCCTCAACTTAATAATTTTAATTTTCTGCAAAACTATTTATGTAATTTCTTTGAATTATATTGAATGAATGTTATGAATTATGTTGAATAATGTTGATTGTTCTACCTAGAGATAAATTCAGATATGTATATCCGAAATAAGATAACAGATAAATTCAGATATGAGTATCCGAAGTAAATTTAATAAATCATATCGGTGGTACGTTCGAATATGCACTTCCAAAAATTGAAAATATTTTAGGTTTTTTTTTAGCAAAGTTTAAGAAGAATTGTATTAGACAAAGAAAGAAATTCTCAAACATTTTTATCATCACTAGCCTGACGTCATAATGATGTGTCCATTCCAACGACCATTTGGTTTTACCGATATGTAATTGGACCAAATGTTACTGGACTACACATGATACGAGAGCACAATGTTATTCACGAATTAGGCTAATCGTCCCTCAATACTAGTCTTCCTCTTCCTCTCCATTCACTCTCACGGAAGAAAACGGTATGGATCCAAAAAGCGGGTTCAACTCCGTATCCAGAACCTTCCACAGTCTACGTCCCTCACTCAACCTTCCTCCACCACACACCACAATCTCAACCGCAACCTACATTCTCTCCCTCCGCCACAAATCACCTTCCCCCGACTCACTCACTTTTCTCATCGACTCAACCACATCCTACCGAATCTCTCACTCCAACTTTATCCAACGCTCACAAACCCTCGCCACCAACCTCATCACTCTCCACGGACTCACCAAAAACCACACCGCATTGGTACTTTCCCCAAACATTATCCAGGTACCAATCCTCTACTTCGCACTACTCTCCATTGGCGTGGTCGTTTCACCCGTAAATCCAGCTTCTACCCCCTCCGAGATTTCTCACCTCATAAACCTCTCAAAACCGATCATCGCTTTTACGACCTCGTTTTCATTTCACAATCTTCCAAAACTCCCACTCGGAATGATTCTCATTGACTCGCCCGAGTTCGACTCACTCACCATGGAAGGTAGTACTTCGCCGGTGTCCCCGGTTGTTAATCAGTCCGACGTGGCTGCGATTCTGTACTCCTCGGGGACCACGGGGAAATCAAAAGGCGTAATGCTTACTCACCGGAACATTATGGCGTCGGTGGCGGCGTACGACGCGGTTCGTATTCCCACGGAGAGTCCCGCCGTGTGTTTGCCCATGGTGCCTTATTTTCACGTGTATGGTTTTACCTACCTTTTGAAGTCAGTGGCAATGTTGGAAACGTTGGTTGTGATGGAGAGGTTTGGATTGGAGAAAATGCTGGCTGCTTTGCGAAGGTTTCGAGTTACTCATCTTGTGGTGGCGCCGCCAGTAGTGGTGGCCATGAGTAAAGAGAGAGCGACGGAGGGGTATGATTTGTCGTCATTGAAATGGGTGGCTTGTGGTGGTGCTCCGTTGGGTAAAGACAACTTCGATGCTTTCAAAGCAAAGTTCCCTCTAGTATCCATCCTCCAGGTTTCATCTCAAAGTTTCAAAATTATCAATTAAGTAGATAATTTTTTTTTCAAAACCTTATTTATATTTGTAATAATTATCTTAAAAGATTAATATATTCTTTTTATTATAGGGATATGGGTTAACCGAATCAACCGCCGGTGTTATCCGATTAGTAGGTCCAGATGAGGATAGCCGAGCAGGTACTACAGGTAGGCTGGTATCAGGGATGGAAGCTAAAATAGTGAACCCCAACACAGGAGATTCCTTGTCTCCTGGTGTACAAGGAGAACTTTGGGTTAGAGGACCTCCAGTAATGAAAGGCATGCACATTCATAAATGCAAGAATACTTTTTTTTTTTGTCTTGTCTAATAATTATTGGTACTTAGATATTGAGTTTAAATTGTAATTTTTTTTTCAAGATGCATCTAGTCACACCTTAACATGTAGATAGTTGTGGAGGTAAAAGTAAAACTGTTATATCAAAGTGGCATAAAGGTTAAGATACTCTCCTTTTTTTCATTCTTTTCATTTTCTCCATTACTATAATTTTGTGTGCAAATAAAATAGCACACAATTCTAAAATATGTGACATATATTTAATATCTATGTAACTTTATATATAGAAAACTATAATAATGGAACTCTCCATTTCTTTTCTTAAAGAAATGGAGAGAATCCTTAATCGTGATATAGTTAAATACATGTGGTAAACCTATTTACAGTGAACTTACCTATCAATCAAACTCTTGTATTAATGCCAATTTGCTTTGATATTTGGTAATTGTGCATTTGGAATTTTAGCAGGTTATGTTGATGACCCGGTGGCAACTGCTGTTACTTTGGTGGATGGATGGTTGAAAACTGGCGATATTTGCTATTTTGACAATGAAGGTTTCGTCTATGTTGTAGACAGGTTAAAAGAATTGATCAAATATAAAGGTTATCAGGTAAGACTATTTACGATGGTAAAATTATTCAACATCTATTTTTCTTATTTTTTATACTCCACATCATCTTTTATCTCTTCCACCTAATAATTCAACACATATTCAACTTTTACTTACTACAATGGTTTTGTTTAATAAAATTAAACACTTTACTCCACCACTTTTATTCAACACCCCATTACAACTAGTCTAAACTATATACTTCTTTAAGCCTTCAATCCATGATATTGCCAAAGGCTCAAAACAGGAGGGCACTGCTAGCTGAATTTGTTATTATCTGCAGATTTCTTCGTGCGCTTCATAAACTAGTTTATTCCAATCAATGAATAAAATTGGATTCTTAATTCCCTTATGCATGCTCAAAAATGTCTCACGGGAATTAAGGACTTCCTTATATTTTCTCCCAAATGCAAGAACCTTATTTATGATCTTACCTTACTTTAAGTCTACAATTGTTGAGAATGCGTTCAATGAAAAATTGTTCTCTATGTGACTGTCATGTTAAGCTACTTCAAGGCTACAACGAACCTTATTTATGATCTTACCTTAATTTTTCAATAGTTTAGATATGATATTTTGTGATTTAAATGATAAGAGTCCTCCACCGGAACCAATCTAAAACGAAAACATAAACTTTAGCAAAAAAACATTTTAGTTTTTTATTTTTCACAAGTCGTAGATACTTTGTTCCCTTAATCATTTTGTCAGGGATTTGATACTAACCATTGCAATGGAAAAGCATCTGTTGGGAGATGTCAACCCTTAATCAATTTCAATTACTTTGAGAGATTAATCTTTGTAATTGCATGTAAGGATGCATTGGATAACAAAAAAAAAAGGGTTAAAATACTGCAATATGAAATTGAATTTTATTGTTAAAACTACGCAAAAATCATGAACTTTTGGGTTTTAATGTTAAGTCCATCTAAGTTATATGTCAAGTATGACTTGTTAAGGAGGAGGAGATTAGTGGTTCTTATCCCACCCACAACATTAACACTAACATACTGACAGTCTGTCATTCTAAAATACATTATGACGAATCTGTTATTTTTTTTACAATATTTGCAGGTGGCTCCTGCAGAGCTGGAACAACTACTCCAGTCTCACCCAGAGATAAAAGATGCTGCAGTTGTTCCGTAATGTCTTCATTTCTTTGCTAGTCTCACGAATCCATTTTTTTCTCTCAATAATCTTTTATAGAATATGTTCTTAGAAAAAGGCAAGGTTCCCCTGGCTTTTGTGCTATCTAGCTAGGACAGAATGCATAACCTTTGAAAATCAATAACAGATACCCTGATGAAGATGCTGGCCAGGTTCCCCTGGCTTTTGTGGTAAGACAACCTCAAAGCTCCATGGGTGAAGCAGAAATAATAGATTTTGTAGCCAAACAGGTGCTATTTTCTTGAACCTTTTTGTTCTTCTAGTTGATATTGCAGGTTTCTTTTCCAAAATCAGTAAATTTCCCTGTTTGCTTGATGAAAATATAAATTATTGTTGTATTTTTATTTGTATTTTGCTCAAGTTTACAGGTTGCACCATACAAGAAGATAAGGCGTGTGGTATTTGTCCATTCCATACCTAAGAATGCAGCAGGAAAGATACTGAGGAAGGACTTGTTGAATAAAATTATCGCTAAAGAAACATTTCCTAGGTTATAATGTCTTACACGGAAAAATGCTCGTGTTAGAATCTGACAAAATAAGACAACAACGATGATAATGATGATGGAATTGACTACAATGCTCTTATGTAGAAAAAGCTTTTTCATTGGAGCTTGCAGAATAACCACCAATCAAGTTAGGGTTGATACTATTAAACTATCTATGAATGAAAGAAATAAAAACCAACAATCAAGTTAGGATTGAAACCATCAATAATGAGAATTAAACTCAAGAACCCTAAAAGTGTTTTTGAATGAGTCAATTAAAAATTTAAGGGATTTTGAAATTTCATGGAATTCAAATGCTTAATTTGGATTTCCTTCATTTTCAAAATTTATTGATTGGATGGAAATATTTGAATTGCTTCATTTTAAAAATTTATTGTTTGGGTAAAGTGATGTAATTCATTTAGTTTATGAAAAAAGAATTTGAAAAAGAATTTATTTTACATATGTTTTAGTGACAGTGACAGAAAGCATTTGTGAGTATAACTCTTAAAATAGTTTTTACCTCTAGACAATATCCATAGGTAGAAGTTTAACGATTATAGAAAAATCTCATTCATGTATACGAATTCATCATATTTAATAACAAATTTACAAACTCAAATACATGCAAAGCTAAATATTGAAAGTCTACAACCCAACTCATCAAAACCCTTTGTTCATGTATTTTGAAAAGTATAAATAATGAATAAATCAATTAAGTTTATTCTTTGTATTATAAAAGTCTACATATAAACAAATATATATCAAATGTCTACCGCGAGAATTTCAATACAAAAACATAAACAATGTATTATAAATCTCATCATACTCGAGTTAAAATATAAACTATTAATATAGTAATTTCATAACAAATATCAAATACACATGTATAATAAAGTCCAACTCAAGCTTTCATTCTTCAATTGTGTCTCACCAAAAAAAAATACAAAGTTAGCAAAATTCTATCTTACTTTTAATATATTAGCAAATAAAATAAATATCGAGGCATAAAAAATTACTTTGATCTCAAGACATGAAAGTCAATATATATTTTTTTTTTCTCTCTCAATAAAAGAGTTTTGAGAATCGTTATTTTGTTCAGATTTTCAGTTAACCAATTTATTGCTCTATAGTGTAAAGTGTTATCACAATTAACAATCATCTTCATTTCATTTAACACTTATTGTACTCCTTCTTGAGCATTTCCTTCCATTCTTTTTTTACTAACTTGCACAAAATCTTTATTGAGCCACTTCTCTAATAGAGCTTATCACCCTTTCTTTGTCTCTATCCTTATAAGCACGAGTATATTGTGCTTTTTTTCTTTGTTGCGGAACTTGGTTCCTCTAAATCAATGCACGGTGGACCCTTTTTCTTCTACTACTCCCTCTTTGCTCATGACATCATCCACATCAAATGCATATTCTACTTGAACTCCATTTGCTCTATCTTTCGCACATATGTCTACAATGTCATTCCAATTTAGAATGACCCTAAATCAGAATGTTTTAGCTTCATGAGACTAAAAAAACAAAATAAAACAATGATGATAACATCTTGAATTATGAGTGTGGAAAATAAAACAACTAATACAACTTACATTTCTAATTACAAGGATGGTAGGACTATAAATGAAAATGAAGAAAGCTGCATATATAGTGTGTAACCAAAGTATTCCACAGTATCACATGCTAAAAAGAGAAAAGTGTCGGCAGACATTGCAAGATCAAACTATTAGCCATGACCTTTTATTTGTTTCTTTTGAACAATTAACCGATTCTTATGTTAGTTCTTAGTTTTAAAACCTCTATTGTCTCAACTTCACTTAAATGTTAGAAATGAAAATTTGAAACCCCACCACCTATAATGGTTAATTATCTCTGTTGTAGTATACTGTTCTTAGATTGCATACTAGTCTATAATCTAATATATAATTTTCACCTTATACAGCTCTGTGTGAATGAACAAAATCAAAAATCCTAAACAGCGCAAATGTTCTATCATCTTTTCTTCCCTCATTTTTTTCTATTTTGAGAATGTTTTGTTTTATAGTAAACCACCTAAACTTGTAGTGGCAAGGGCCATACGTTAGATGAAAGACAATCAAGCTCTGCCTTAGGTCAAAGAACCACTTGAACGAAAATTTTAAGCAAATAATAAATACTCAATGAAGATTTCACCTATAAATTAAAAAAAGAATGACTTTCAATTTAAAGAATGAAAGAATTTGGGATATAAGACAGAAAAGGCATGTCAAGCTCTAGCCTAGCTTTCTCACTAACTTATGTTTTGGTATTGTCTTCTAACAATGAAATTAACCTAGTTAGATATTTCAATATGAGCTTATATTCTACACATTTTAGAGGGTAAGACATTTACATTTTACTATAAGCAAAAAAAACTAGCATGTCATTTTAGCATACTACAGGGTTAGACATTTACATTACACTAAGCAAAAAAAAAATAGCATGTCACATTACAATGAACTGTTATTTTCTTTTGAACAATTAACTGATCCTTATGTTAGTTCTTAATTTTGAAAATATGTGCATATATAGAAAATCATATACTGTCATAAACATACTACAAGGTTTCAATAAATTAGAGTGATAAAGGTTGGAACTTGAAACATTTGAGAATAGACTTTCTCGTTGTATAAGTATATACGGCCCTCCTAGTTCCACCGGCAAATGTCGCTACGACACCATATCCTGGATTCCACGTCACATTGTAGGTTAGAATTTTCAATGATCATTGTCGTTTCAACCAAAATATGAAGAAAAAAACATACAAGAATAATGATGAATAATTGAAAGTACATCAAAATCCATGGGCAGATTGATTTTTCCTACCATCTAAACTTTCAAATTGAACGCCATCAAAAATATATGTTTTATCATTTTCTCTTCTAAACTACTTGGTCAAAAAGACTATTTGATTACATTTTTCTATCCAACAAAACCAAGATCATTTGCAAAATCTAATGAAAAATCTATTTATAATATATTTTTTCTAGTCTGAGTCGTCTTCTTGCCACATAAATGTTTTATGATTTAGTGAAAAAAAGAACAGGTTTGCACACAAACACAGTAAAAAAACTTAAAAGAAAAATCATAGCAGTATATAAAATTACCTAACATGCATATATCAAATTTAACAAATAGTGAACCAACATATGATATGGATTAGTAGAGAAGAGAAAGCGAAAATCATAGAAAAAATATAGCAGTAGTTAAAAATAAATACCTTGATATATTCATTCTATATGCATTTTCATCTTTAACATTGATCATGTATTTTGTGCCATCCTAATCAAATCCACTTTTGATTGAGATATCACTAATTATCTGTTTTGGATTGGGCCTACACTTGATCCAAACATCATACGAGATCCAATTCAACTATGCTGCAGGAGAAAACCAACATGAGAGAGTCCGCCCTTGACAATCTTGGACAGTGATTCCACTCCTCTCGTTGACCAGGATATGTCCTCTGGAGAAAACCTCATGACTGGAGAGGAGGACCAAGGACACTCACGAGGTCCTCGCGAGCACCCTGCTCGTAGGGCATGCACCCAACGACTTCGAATATCACAGAGTCCTCTTGACCCCCAAAAGACCACATCCACCTCCTCCTAATAATTCGGAGGAGCCCATTCAGGTTGGGGACCACGTGCTGACCTCCACTACACACGTAGGACCTGACAGTCTCTATTTTGGGCCTGCTTGGTTAGCCCAACAATGGGAACCTTGGCCCAGCGCTGGATATATAAATACCCTCTCACTTGAGAGGGTCAGATATTCATTCATTCACCCATACTCTCACACTTACTTGCACTTACACTAAACCTTACTTTGGCATCAGAGTGTCTTGCAGATACCCCCCACTTCACATTCAATCACTACTCGACTTGAAGCTCGTGGGCCTTGACCATCTCTTCTGGCTAGGTACGATCAGTGGCGCCGACTGTGTAGATCTAGCTTCCCGTCTTCCACTCAAAACCAAAGCAACTCTTTACCAACCTTTCGATTGTCATGGCCGACCAAGTTGTCAACGATAATCAAAACTTTCACTTCGCCGATGCCAATAACAACGACGTGGCCGATCCCGAGCAAGATCATAGAGACGAACCGACTGCCTCTACCTACCACGCGACGACGACTACCATCCTCCACATAATTATGATCCAATACATATTAAGAGATCCTTGTTCATGCAAGTGATGACGCCACGACCAAAGCCTTGTTCGCGATAATCAACCAGACAAATTACATGATTTTCTCATAGGACGAGCGACTGATGATGCTCGAGCAGACTCGTCGGGCCCCCAGAAATCACAGAAGACCTTATTCTCGAACTCCTCGTCCCCGACGGAATAAGGACCTCACTCGATCTACCCCGTAGAGACACAAACATCATGGCTCTCGAAGTCCCTCTCCCCGCCGAACTGGGCGAGGCCCTGCATTGGAGAGGAGCTAGCCCTAAGCTGTTAGGAAGCACAGTCACACCCTCCCGCGCAAGGAGCGGCGATCCCTTGAACATAAAAGGAATAGGGGGAATGAATAAAAATAGTCTCGGTCAAGGCCGACACAACGACCGCCACTACAAATAGTCCCCTTCTCGCTCTTCAAAAAGAAGTGATGAAGATGACCCCCATAGTCCACTATCCCAAGTCATCATCGAGGCTCGCATTCCTAAAAGAATAGAGAAGCCTTCCTTACTAAAGGAGTACGAAGGCATTGCTGATCTTGTCGAGGGTTTGAAGAGATGCTCCACTACCACAACATCGAGAGCCTAATTAAATGCAGGTTGTTCCCCATGATGCTGAGAAAAACAACCATGGAATGGTATAAGAACCTCTCCCCTGGGTCGACCACCTCATGGAGGAGCCTAAAAAACTAGCTCATCAGCAGCTTCACCGCGTCTCGACAACATACAAAGATTGAGGCGGCCCTCGAGGCAATCGTCAAGAGAAGCAACCAGACCCTCAGGGAGTACATTGATCGGTTC